AGATGCCCACACCAAGGCATGTCATAATTGAAATACCAAAGGTTAAAGACAAAGAGAGAATCTTAAAAGCAGCAAGGGAAAAGCAGTTACTTACATATAAGGGGTCTCCCATAAGACTGTCAGATGATTCCTCAACAGAATCTCTGCAGGCCAGAAGGGGCCGGCAAGAAATATTTAATCTGATGAAAAGCAAGGACCTACAACCAAGATCACTCTACCCAGCAAAGCTATCATTTAGAATCAAAGGGCATATAAAGAGTTTCCCAGACCAAAAAAAAAAAAAATCTAAGCAAGTTCCTCACCACCAAACCAGTATTACATGAAAGGTTTAAAGGTTATCTTTAAGAAGAAGATGATTAAAAATGTGAACAATAAAATGGCCATAAACACATATCTATCAACAATTGAATCTAAAAAACAAAATAAACGAACAAGCAGAACAGAAACAGACTCACAGACACAGAGAACATTTTGATGGTTGCCAGATGGGAGAGGGTTGGGTGGAAAAGGTGGAGGGATTCAGAAGTACAAATTGTTTGCTACAGAACAGTCACGGGGATGTTAAGTACAGCACGAGGAATAGAGTCAATAATATTGTAGTAACTAGTATGGTGTCAGAGGGGTATGAGATTTATCAGGATGATCACTTAGGATTATAACTGTCTAATCATTGGGGTGTACACTTGAAACTAATATAATACCGCATATCAACTGTAATTTAAAAATGAAAAATGAGTTAAATTAGAAAAAGATGAAGGCACAAGAAACATAAACACACAACAGAGCTTAAGAAAATTTAGAGGACATCTTAAACTACCAACCAGTGAGTGACAGGAATAATGAGTGCAGAGAGAGACAAGGACCACCAGACCGGATACACACCCAGAAAGGTGTCAGGAGGACCCCATCCTCTTCTCTAGATATCTAATTCCTACCCAAACTTAAATTCCCAGGTCAAATTCCTCCTTAATCCTTAAAGGCTTCCTAAAGCACTCCACCCCACATAGCCTCACTTCCTTTTCCAAACTGAGAAAAATGTGTTGTCCTAAATTTCATTTGGTACTGGGTTGTGCCATCTAATAAACTTGGTTGTGCTATTGATTTTTTAAAAAGAATCCACATGCACTTTTTTTAAAAGGAAACAATAAATGAAAGTGTAAAAATGAAAAATAAAAGGTTGTATAGTCCCCTAGCTAAGGGTCAGTTGGAAGTTCAATAAGGATTAATATCATAATGTGAAATTTTAAAATGGGCAAAGGACTAGAATAGATATTTCTCCAAAGAAGATATACAAATGGGCACTGGCTGGTGTGACTCAGTGGATTGAGCACCAGCCTGTGAACCAAAAGGTCACAGGTTTGATTTCCAGTCAGGGCACATGCCTGGGTTGTGAGCCAGGTCCCCAGGAGGGGGCGCGTGAGAGGCAACCACACATTGACGTTTCTCTCCTTTTCTTTCTCCCTCTCTTCCCCCTCTCTAAAAATAATGAAATAAAATCATTTTTTTTAATTAAAAAAAGAAAATATACAAATGGTAAAAAGCACATGAAAAAATGCTCAACATCACTAGCCATGAGGAAAATGCAAATCAAAACCAAAACAAGATACTACGTCATACCTGTTGGGGTGACTATTAGAAAGCAAGAAAGTAATAAGAGTTGACAAGAAGTGGGGAAAAAATGGAACCCTTGTGCACAGCTGGTGGGAATGTGAAATGGTTGCAGTTGCTATGGAAACGGTATTGAAGCTTGTCATTTGATCCAGTAATTCCACTTGTGGGTAATGCACAAAAGAATCGGAAGCAGGAACTCAGCAAGGGGAAGTAATCCAAGTGTCCACCAACAGAGGAACAAATCAATAAAATGTGGTCTGTACATACAGAGGAATATTATTCAGCGTTAAAAAGCAAAGAAATTCTGACATGTGCTACAACATGAACAAACCTTGAGGACATTATGCTGAGTGAAACAAGCCAGTCATAAAAAGACAAAAACTGTAGGATCCCACTTATATGCAGTAACCAGAACAGCCAGACTCACAGACAGAGAGGCTGTTCAGCAGAGGCTGGGAGGATGAGGAAATGGGCATTCAGTGTTTAATGGGCACGGAGTTTCAGTTTCACAGGACAAAGAGAGTTCCAAAGACAGGAGGTGGCGATGGCTGCACAGAATGAATGTACTTAATCTCACAGAGGGGGGCACGTGCTCGGATGGGTTCCTGCAAGTCCTTCAGAGAGATCTGTCTTTCTAAGCTGGTCCAGAACCTTCAGCAGAGAGGAAGTCTATGATAAATCTTATGTTATGTATATTTTACCACAATAAAACAAACTAAATACTATTTTTTTAGGTCAGCATGGTGAAGGAAAGGTTTTTGCCTTTTCCCAGATTTCGAGAGCACAATTAAAAAATAAAAACAGGAAAGGCAACGTCAAGTACTGACAGGTGAGCCTCAAATCCTGGTGCCACACCTGACAAGGTGAGTTGCTGTAGACAAGTTATTTTTTTTTTATTTTGTATTCATTGATTTGAGAAAAAGAGAGGAAAGGTGAGAGGGAGAGAGAAACATCAATTTGCTGTTCCACCCATTTATGCATTCATGGGTTGATTCTTATATGTGCCCTGATTGGGGAATCGAACCCACAACGTTGGCATATTGGGACGATGCTCTAACCAACTTAACTATCCAGCCAGAGCTATAAACAAGTTACTTAACTGCTCTTGGCCTCAGTGTCTTCATGAAATGAATCAAAGGATCCCTTGCTCACCAGTCCGAGAGCATTCATTCCATCAGCCTTCCATAAGAATGTAACGTGCTCAGCACGGTGGCTGCTGCAAAGCAAGTTCTCAACAAATGCCAGCCTCCACCATTTTGTCCCTAGGGACATGGAACATGAATGCAGGTGCTTGGGCCAAGGAAAACGCCCGAGGGCTGTGCACTGCCGAGGCAGGGCCTCGAGCCTTTCCTTTGCTTCTGTTGCTCCTTTGTTTTCCTTCAGGGAAACCAATTAGTAGTGGGTGACAGGAAAGGAGGGGAAATTGGCAGAAATGAGTTGCCCTTACACTGGCTCCTTGGTCAAAGTGCCTTTTGAGAAACTCCCTTGGGGCCTCACAGGACCACAGGAAAGGTGGGACAGTCCACATGTTGACAGACGGCAGGGCTCTACCCACTGCGAGGGAGGTTGGGGAGAAGGAGCAGTAAGCAAGAGACAAGGAATCAGGGTCCAGAAACAGACTTCCTCTATGCTGAAGATTCTGGACCCGGTGATGGAAAGACAGATCTCTAAGAACGACCTGCAAAAATCCATGCTGAGCAGGACAGCCACTTCCTGACAACGGAAGTTGGAGACGCAGACTTTGGCGCAAAATCAGCATCTCCGTACAACCATGGCATAAAGAGAGGGCCCAGGAGGCTCTGCCGATCACCCCCGTGCCAATCTCAACTATGAGTCACCCCAGGCCACTGAGAGAGGAAACGCTCATAGGAGGCACACCTCTGGGGCTGAAAGAGACCAGTGTGCACAAAACCCTCCAGTGCAGGGACCTCATTTGATCCGCCTCTGTTAACACTGGAGCAAATGAGGTCCCTGGCACCCCACGGTGAATACTGGGTGGGAGGAGGAGGGTGGGAACGACAGACAGACAGAGGGACATGGAGTGTGCTCCTGGCTGACCTGACAACATTACTAAGCTCTTCAGCACTTCATGGCTACTGTGTCCACATCAGACGGTCATTGTATAGAGAATGAGTGTGGAAGGGTCCCCAAACTCTGAAACTGGCACATGACAGGGGACACTGGCGTGACATGGAAGTGCCTTGGAGATGGGAAGACTTTCAGGAACAAGAGTGAGGGTTGTAGAGGTTAGTGACTGCCTCATATATGACACTGACATAGCTTAATGGAGGGAAGAAAACATTTGAAAAGTGGAAAAAGGTCTGAGGTGAGGCTAAAAAGAGACAATGATTGTAACGTGCTTAGCGCAGAGCCTGGCATGCTCAGGGAATGGCAGCTGTTATTATCGTATTAATAAGACCTGGCTCAAACCTGAGAAAAAATGGGCAAGAGGGTCTTCAACCTCACCCATACAGAAAGAAATGCAAATTTAAGCAAAAATCCGCTGCTGCCCTGCACCCATCAGACTAACAAGAGTCCAAGCCCAGGGACACACGGCGCAGGGAAACCGCAGCCCTCCGGCACCGCTCGCAGGACGATCAAGTGCTGCCACCCCTCTCAAAACGTTAGACCGGAAAACTCCGTGCTGCTGGCACCCCTCTTCTGGGGTGTTACCCTGCTCGTCTCCTCCTCACACGAGTTAACCCAACGGTGTCTAGACCCAAAGCTCTTCATGGCAGCATTATTCACAAAGATCACGAAGGACAGGGACAGCTCTGCTGACCATCAAGAAGGAAACGATTTCTTACCCGTAAGGAAATTACACCGCCGCATCCGAGGACAGACTACGTTTGTCACATGAGTGTCTCGCACAGAGCCCTGTGTGTGCTGACAGGGAACCCCTGCCAGACGCACTGTTACGTGAACAGGCCAATCCCCCTGAAGTCCACGTTATCACGCTGCCGTCTCAGGGCTGCCCTGCCATTAGGACCACCGCTGCTTAACTTGGTTTACTTCTGTGTGGCCAGTCTCTCCCGCCACCAAGCAAGGGCAGGCGCCATGGCGATCCTGCGTCTCCCCAGGGCACAGAAGGGGCTCAAAGGTGAGGGCCAAAATGATGAGGTCCAAATGCTCCATGATGGAGAATTTGTCTCTTGCAGATGGACTCAAATTTCCCACTGGAATGAGGCTCCATACAGGAAGACTTTGTCGCCACCCTCCCCCGGCACCTAGACGGTGTCTAGCTCATTGTAGGTTAAATCTGACCTCATGAGGACCTTTCCACAGCACAAAACATATTCCCTCTGACTCCCTTAGAACAGTTCAAGGAAGAATGAAAGTCAGAGCCACAGAAATCTGGAGAAAACCACAAAAATGTGAATGAATCTTACCTGTTTTTTCTGGTTTGGTCCACTGAATAAATCTGCTTTCTCAGCCAACTGGGAAGAGAGTGGAGACCAAAGAGAGAGAAAGAGAGAAAGTTAGAAAATAGTACAAGTCTAGCCCTGGCTGGAGTGACTCAGTGGACTGAGTGCCGGCCTGCAAACCGAAGGGGTGCTGGTTCGATTCCTGGTCAGGGCACATGCCTGCTTTGTGGTCCAGGTCCCTAGCTGAGGGTGTGCGAGAAGCAACTGGTCAATGTATCTCTCACACATCAATGTCTGTCTCCCTCTCTTTCTCCCTCCCTTCCCATCTCTCTAAAAATAAATTTAAAAAATAGTACAAGTCTGAGTTCTATGGGACAGGGACAGAGGAACCTGGGAAGAGTTTTCCAACTTTCTAAATTGGAAAGCAGCTTCCTCCTTGTGGTCAAAATGACCTAGCTGAGCCAGGAGGCCCCTTCAGCTCTGAGAGCCTTTAAACTGGTGACTCCCTCCAATGATATCCATTAATCCCAAAAGAGCTGGTAAGTAAAATAGCGGAAATTGGAGGGCTTTGGTTTATGGGGGTGGGGGAGAACAATAATTCACACACCCATCCCAGCCAGACACGCACATCACTGACGGGACAGTCCTGAGTGGCAGGTGGAAAATTCTGGACCTTGTGTCTACTGTCCTTTGATGAGTCAGCTAATGCCTTCCTAAATCCTTTAAGAAGGAAACCTCTGGTCCTCCCCTCAAATACAACACCAAGGCAGGTTTCTGGCTCAGTTTCAGTGCACTCCTCACTCTATGGCCAAGGCCATGGCCCCAATACCGAGAGAGCCTCTTCTGTGAGACATTAGAGAGACCACAGCCACTATGGGGCACCTACTGCATGCAGGACACTCAATGAGCCTCCAAGATGAAATGTCTTATTTTTCTTTCCTTTACCCACGTTGGCTAAGGGGAGGAGAATAAATGAATGAATCCGTGAACACAGATAGACAGGCAAAAGCCAGTACCTCTCAATAATGGTGGGTGTGGACGCACTCATTGCTTCTTGGTGTAAGATTTTCAAGCCGGAGAGCCACTTGGTTGCATCTTCCTTAGAGTCAGCTGGAGAGGTGAACAAGGAATGGAAACGCTGAATCGTGCCCTGGGAAGACTACAGCCTAGCGACCCTGGCTCCCTGGCTCCCTGGCTCCCCGCCCCACCCTGCCTCCCCAGCCCCATTCAGATTGTGGGAGTGGGAGAAGCCTGTGCCAATCTGTAGTTTTGCAGGAGGGCACCAAGAAGGCATCCGTCCCTTTCATAGCTGCGTGATTCTAAGACCTGCTCTTTGTCTGAGATGAGACCATGTGCCCATTATGAGCCTCCTACAGCAGAGGAGACAAGTAGACTATTTTTCAAAAAAAAAAAAGAGTTTTAGCTTTTAACCCTGAATAAGATTCAGGGCCTAGAGTAACTTGTACCGCAATCCTGAGCAGCCCTCAGCGTTTCCCATTTCCAACCAAGGCCAGAGAGAGGGTGGAAAGTAGGAGACGCTGGTGCCCACAAGGGAAGCAGCAACAAGAGGTGGTTAGGAGCTTGGCACCACCTCCAAGTCCCCCTGCACCACTCAGCACTGTGTGACGTTCAGTTGGATACTTAACCCTTCTGTGCCTCATTTTCTCATCAGTGAATGGAGCTAGCAATGCAAACACCTGGCGGAGTTATTAAACATCTAACGAACCACCAGGTATCTTGTTAGTTCAGACAGGACCATGCCAACACTGCTGTTCTCATTCTTCCTATGTGGATGAGGTGGAAACCAAGGCTCAGAAGGTTAAGACACCTGAGCCAATAAATGAGAACCTGGGATCTGAATCTAAATCTTGCTCTTCTCCCTACCTGACCTTGAATTCCAGAGCTCTGGAGGAAGCACCCTGGAGTGAGACAGACTAGTATCCTGGGCTTCATGTCTTGTTTGGGTTCTCATGGTCTCTCTACCAAGCACAGCAGCCAGGCTCGGCCTGAAGTGAGGCTAAATGGACACAGCTCTGAAGACTCACAGTCGCGAGCCCCTCTCCCTCCTGCCCCATCTCTGCCACCCTCCACACACCATCAGAGACACACCATATCCCATACCCAGCTTGATTTTTCCCTCATCCAAGCACTTGTATATACAATGCCCTCTCCCTGAACCATCTCCCCTCTTTCCTCCCAACTCGTACTGATGCCTCAAAACCCAGTCTAAAAGTCACCTGCTCTGCAAAGCCTTCCCTGGAATTAGACACTCGATACTCCTCAGCACACTGTATTATGCTTGGACTACTGCTCTTATCACAGCTCCTGTCCTCACATCTGTCTCCCAAATAGACTATGAACTCCTTAAAGGCAGCAACTGTGTCTTATTTGTCTTCAGAGCCCCATGGACTTCCAGCATGACCGAGCTCAAGCCTATGCTCCAAAGATGCCTCATGAAAAAATGAAAGATAAATAAAATTGATAACAGCTATTTGACCCTAAATGAAACGTCTCCTGTGAAAGCGTCCCCCCACTGTGGTCTACTTCCGTGGTATTTATTCACTCTCTCTTCAGTCGTGACAGTGCCTGCAGTGCTAAGCCAATGATTAGTTCTGGGACTGGATGTGAAGGGAGCTCCAAGCTTCTGCTCCTGAGTAAGGTGCCTGAGCTTTTCCACAGCTCTTCTTTTGGCCTCTTGGAGGCCTCCTATGGCTTTTTGGTGGATTTGCATGGATGACCAGAAACCTCACCTCCAGATACATGTGTCTGTGTGTGTGCACATATGCATGCATGCATACATACAGCCATATGCATGCATGTGTATACTCCGTGTATGTGTGTATATGTGCATGCTTACTTGTGTGAGACATAGGATTTCAGGAGAGTTCCTTCAGTTCTTTTAAGCTGAACAAATAGTATAGACCAGTCTGTGCTGGACAAAACTGTCATCGGCCTTCAGCTCTCAGCGTAAGCCAGGCAGGCCCTTAGTAGAACCCTCACAACACTGCACCGAGGCCAGCACTATGATTCTCCCATTTCCCAGCTGGCTCAGAGGGATTGACTAGCTTGCCCAAAGGCACACAGCCAGGAAGGAGCAGGGTTAGGATTCAAAACCATGATGCCCCCAAACACGCATTAGTGGGAAGGCAGGTGTCAGCATCCTGCCACTAGAAAATGTCCTAAGAAGGAAACCAAGGAGGGAGAAAAGCACCCAGAGGTGCACCCACCTGCTAAACTGAGTGTGCTGAGGGTGAACTGGGTGCCGTACAGGATGGTGAAGCAGCAGTCTTCCTTCTGGCGCACTGCTTTTGCACGCTCAAAATCCTTGGAGCACTTCCCCGGGCGGATTTCCTTTATTTCCATGATATCCACTAAAAGGAAATGAACACAAACCAATTAGAAGCCAGAGTTCACTCACCTGAGGATGCACCCCAGACACACAGCCCACCCCCTCATGCCCCAGAGTGAAAACGAGCAGTCCCAGCCCCTCCGCCCTGCCCCGACTGCAGGACTGTGTGCACATAAATAAAATGATTAAGGACTGCAATAGTTCTACAGCGACAGATAACAGAAACGAAGGGGAATTATACCTCCACCCAAGGGAGACCCCTTTCCTGCCATGACCAGTGACCTGTGCACTGCTACAAAGAGACAAACTCGACTGGTCCCTTCCTTCCCCTTTCTGTCGAAAAAGCACCTTTTCCTGGGATGAACACACTCCACATGCTTCAGATGAATCTGGTCCATCTCTCTTGACTTCCCACCACAATAATCTGAAGATTGGAATGACCAAGGTGCACCCCCCCGCACCCGCACAGTGATTAGTTCAGAGACAAGCACATGGCCCAATGGCAGGCCCATCAGAAGCCTCCTGGGACTCATTTGGCCAGAGCTACTCATAAAGTTTCTCCTGCTGCTGCCTGGCTGATAGAATTTCAGTCAGTGGAAAGAAAAGATTAAGCCCTGATGCTCTATTTGAGCCCCTGGGTCTGGTCGAGCTTGAAGATACTTCTACCCCAACATGCTACTTATATGATCCAATACACTCTCTTTTTTGCTTAGGTTAGTGTGAAATGAGTTTCTGTCCCTTGCAACCATAAGAGTCCTGGTACATGCATCTCAGTGCTCAACAAAGAAACAGACAAGAGAGAGATTCCCAGAAAAGAGAGGGGAGGGGAGGAGGTCTCAGCTTTGACCTAGGGTCAAGGGAGCAGACAGACGAGGCACGGAAGGTGAACAGCGGCACTGTGGAGTCCCGGTGGGAACAGTGTTACTGGTGGACAGTCTGTCGGAGCCTAGGGAGTCTTCCCCCTGCCAAGGTGGCGGCAGGAGGAGGTTCCTGCACTGAGCACGCAAAAAGCCCTTTCCCCCCACCCCTCTGGTACCAGATCGGGGGTGAGACCAGGAAAAGGCAGGCACTTGCACAGTAAAAATCAAAATGGCAGCAGGGGGAGGTGCTGGGCCGAAGAGGCCTGTCAGTCTAGCTTGGGAAAGAAACAATTAAAAGGGAGGAGCACTGACCCAAAGCATGCAAAAGTTTGGGAAGCTGATTGGTCATTTTGAGAAAGCACCTGGTCCATCCCGCACTTGAGCTAATATAAACCCAAGGAAACAAAGGAGGCTCTCTCTGTCTTGCTTGTGGCTGGCTTGCTTTAGACCTGCACTCGGATGGTGGACTTGCCTGTTCTGTCCATGGTCCATGTTGCCTTAGCAGTCCCTTGGCCCAAGGCCTCTAGGCGAGAGCTTCTCTTGCTCTCTTGCCAAGCTGCAGACGCATTCACTGGTGTGTTCGTGCCGTCTCTCCTGGGGGCATGTAATCTTGTGACCCTAGCAACCGCCCACGCCCCCTTGGAGGGAGCTTGAAATGGGCAGCAGCCTGAAACAAGCTGAGCTACTGGATGACCGCTCAGCAGCCACCTGTGGGCTCCCAAAGACTGCACTTTCAATTGGAGCAGAAACTCTGGGCACCGGCTTTTGTCTTGGTCTTGCTGAGGAGACGGGCTTTGAGACAGGGAGCTCACCATTCTCCCAGCACACACAGCACTAGAATAAAACCTCCTTCCTTTTTCACCAGCACATGCTCACAAATTTGGATGTTATGGTGACAGGCAGCCAAAACCCCCTTTTCTGTTCGGTAACAAGAGCAGAAAAGATTTGATGGCCATTGAAGCAACTGGAGTGTGGGTGCAGAGAATAAAATTGTAGGAGGGATGGAATGAACTAAGCCTTCTGCTTTCTTGCCAGGATCTAGCTGAATTGAAAACGCTTTCGGGGACCAGGGTCATAAAGTGACGTGAAAAGGCTCTAAGCAAACTGCATGTGTTCTGCATCCTGCGTGTGACGGCGGTCACACAAATCTGTGCAGTAGATACAATTCCACAGAACTACACACCAACCCCAGAACAAAACGCAACCAAAGACGACTGCATGTAAAAAGGAGTGAAAACCAATTATGGCCTGTAGTGTATTTCATAATACTGTAGAGCGCCACTTTCCTGGGTTTGATAACTATGGTTATGAAAGACTTTACCACTGGGGGAAGCTGGATGAACAGAACACAGAAACGCTGTCCTCTTTTTGCAATGTCTGCAGGAATCTAAATTCATTTCAAAATATAAAGTTTTAAAAACCACTGATCAACTATGGGTGGCCCTATTACTGGGGGACTGGTGTTCATAAACCTAGGGCAGGTAGGATGGGGGTCATATCCCCCTTCTTCACCCAACCCTGGAACCTGGGAGTCTCATCTCTCCTCTGTATCTTCAGTCCACAAAACCAACAAAACGAACAACAAAACACAGATCCTTTGTCTGTTCTGAAATTTACAGTCTTCTAGAAGGAAATCAGCATTGCTGATTTAACTGCTTTTGCAACCACCTAAGAACATGAAAGGTATTCACATCTGTTCTCAGAAATTACTTATCCACCCAGTTGACTGCTAGTCAAGAGCTTAGTGACTTCAAGCAAATATTCTTTATTATTTCCTATCTAGTCTAACGATGATTATCTAACCAGTCTCCTTCCCCATAAAATATCTCTAAGAGGGAATCTCTGAATTAGCCTACTGTGAGCTTTTTTTCTTTGCTGCAACATTATAATAAAAATATGATACATGTATGTAACTAAAAACATTTTTCAGATAATGCAATATGTTCTTCAGGCAATCACCAAGTCTGATCAAGTCTACTTTCTAAACCACTCTTGAATTTATCAACTGCTGTCCATTTCCATGGTCCACACCCCTGCTCTATCCTACTTGGTCTTTGGAAGTAGCCAGAAGTTATTCCCAGAGCCACTTTTATAAAATGCAGGTGTATGCTCATACAGTCCTGGGCTGCAACCCTTCCGCAGTGTCCAGTGCTGTGAGGACTAAGAACCAAGCCCCAGGGCTGGCCTCTGCATGCTCCGGCCATACCGGCCCAATCTCAGAACCCCAGACATGCTGTTGGCTCTGCTAGGAAGGCTCTTAGCCTGTTCAGCTCCAAATTCTCCCTTCCAGTCGCAGTCCAATCACCACCAAACTCATGGAAAACCCTCCGACCCCTTCTGTTATACAGACCAAGCCCCTCTCCCCATAGCAGTGACCAGAGGCTGTGCTTACGGGCGTGAACCGTGGACTCAGAACTCTTTCCCTTGACGGTGCTGCCTTCCTCACCACTGTATCCCTACTGGCAGCAGAGATGGTGGTATACAGTGCAGCCTCATGAACAGCTGGAAGAGGAAGGGGACAGAGGGAGATGGGGACACAGACAGGGACAGACCTTGGGAATGGGACAGAGGGAGAGACACAGAGAGACAGGCACATAGATATGAACAAAGACAACTGAAGACACCCAAACAGGGTAAAAGGGACAGAGACACCAGACAGGAACAGAGGACAAGCCACCCAGACAAGGAGATACACACACACACACAGACTGTCAGAGAGAGGGAAAACCACAGGCGACGGAAAAACAATGAAGTAACAGCCACTCTAATGATGCCAGGGGCCCTGGTCACCCACACACGGTCTTTCGCTTCAGTAACGGCAGCATCCTTCACCCAGCCCCGGCCCCGGCCCAGGTGGGGGCTGCAGGCACCCGCCTTCCCCAGCCAGGACTGGTCACCTCCGCCACGTCATCCCGACCACCTCCCTCTTTCTCCTCCCCGGAGAGGTCCTGGCCACTCATCACACTTGGGAAAAGACTAGGCTTCCTCCACTGAACTGCCTTCGCTCCTTCGCAGAGACCCCTTGGCTCTGTGTGGGTGGGCCTATGACCAGGCTCTCTGTGCTGCCTTGTTTCTACGCGCTCATTCTTTCGCTGACACCACACCGTCCCAACAGCCATGGCCTCACAGTAAGTCCCGAAGGGGGGAGTGTCAGCCCTCCAACTCCGTTCTTCTTCAATACTGCGCCAGCTATTCCAGGCCTTTGCCGCCCACACAGCCTTTAGGACCAGTTCATCAGTGGCCACCGAATAACTTGCTGGAATTTGGATTGCGGTTGTGTTGAACTATAGGCCAAGTTGGAGAGAAGTGACATGTTGAACATCCCTACCCATGAACATGGACTAGCTAGCCATCACACTTTTAACCACGAGCCAGACATTTCGCAGGATGCACTTGGTCCTGGCCGCCAAGCGTCTTACAGGCACAGCAGTCTCACCCATGAGGATAAAATTAAAGGTGACAATGATCCCGTAAAATTCTCACAGAACACTTAGTGTGTGCCCGGAACCACGCTGACGCCTTCCAGGTTGTTGCAGATGGGTTCCCTAGAAGCTGAGCCTCCGTGGGGCAGGGATTTCCGTTCAGGTGTTCACTGGGGGGACGGCAGGGGTGCTCGAAGGAGAAGGGAGTGTGGGAGCAGGTTGGGGCAGGAGAAGAAAGCTCAGTTCGGTGGCAGCCCTAGCAGCAGACGGCCTTCGGCCTGACGGCAAATGGAAGAATCAGGATCAGAACCCTTCAACAGCTTCCTGTGGGCAAGCAGGGGACTCGGAGAAGCAGCATCAGAACATGCAGCCCTCGTCCCACCGTGCTCCACCAGGAAGCCCCACCATACACATGTGTGTGCGCACACACGCACGAGCTGCCTCCTGCCCTCGTCAGATCTCGTGTAAGTGGCTTCTCCACAATACTGTCTTCCTTCTTGATCGCCCTGAATTGGCACATCCTGCTGTTTTCATATCTGTGCTATCAAGTTTCTCACCAGCACCACTTGTATTTTTAAGTTTATTTGCTCACTTGTGTGTCCGCTCCCTCTCTAGGCCCCAGGAGAACAGGGGATGAGTCTGTCCCATTCACGCCCAAAGCCTCCTGCTGCCTATGCCAATGCCTGGCTCAGAGCAAACTCAGAGACCCGCGGAATGAATGAATTAGGTTCCTCGGGTGC